TTTGAAACCACCAACCAGATTTATATAATAAAATTTATCAGGTCGATCCACTGATGCGGATGCCTCACTTCCCTCGCCTCGCAAGATCTCGCAGCCAGCAAACCGTTCGGGCACTGACCGCTTGAATTGGCGCATCCGAAGTGAAATAGGAGGATACAGCAGGACCCGGGCCCGGGATTGATTGGGTCTTGAAACATCAAAGTCTTCATTAAAGGATGTGATTTGGGGTCCTGATTTAACGGGAAGCCTTCAAAATGGCAATTTTCATGTAAAAACAGATGATGAACTACTGGTTATTGGAGACAGCTTCAGTGCTAGGCACAACTGCGACACTGCAAGTTGGCTGGAGAATGTCAATCCAGGAAGGACGAGGTTTTTTTTTTAACCGTGTACTGTAATGGTAATTACCCTCTGGTAAACTAACAGTTTGCTATTGAAAATTGCCATTTAGTTTACCAGAGGGTACCATTCATGCTCGGAAGTGTTTCCGCAAGTTTGAGAAGTAAACCAAACCCAAACCCGAAAAATATGAGCAGTCAAATATGTTTCATCATCCCACAGGAAGGGACCCCCTCAGTTGCAAGTCGGTTTATTGCCCCATCGACCGACCAAACTATCTCCATGAAATAAACCCCAATTACCTTTAGGCAAATATACCAACAAACGCCTATCGAACTTGGGTGTCCTTTCCTGTCATGAAATTCCGTAAATCTGGAGAAATAACAAGAATGCACGAGTAAAATACGGCCATCGTGGGATAGCGACCCTTACATCACTTGGCCATTCAGCAAATCTCTGGCAGAGGGTGCCAAGGGTCCCACGGGTGGCGCGATGCCGTGCCCTCCTCGAATGTCCCAGGAATCATGGTGTTGCCTGCCATGTTTAACTACGCTTTCTCCAGGGGCAGGAGACAACACGCCAGTTGAATCAAAATCTGCCAGGTGTTGACGACTAGGGCAATATCCACAAATCCACATACAGTAACATATATACAACTTACTTGGTTTCATTGTAATACTGACTATATATATATATATAGTATCTCTGTTCATGTCGTGTCAAAAGATTCAAGTGGTAGCTACCCATCCAAGGTTAATCCCCATAAAAGGAAAACGGGATTTTCATGAATGTTCGATCAATTCTTGAAATGGACCTGCTCAATCACCAGAGCGGTATGAACCACTTGAGATTCCTGACATTTCTTCATCCAAGAACCGATATCGCCAGTCATACTGTCAGATCTTCGCCGTCTTCGCAACAAAGTTGACGCACCTGGCACTTCAAATGGCTCTTCTGAACTGGCGCATGACCTTAAGCAGTGCATCTGTTTTTTTGTGCGTTTGAAGTTCAGACAAGCACTCACGAGCCATGATTGCAACATATACCAGTGTATCCAAATGTTGTCGAAAATGTAGAATAGAACGCACATTTCCGTCACCCTTTGAACATGTCTCCCAAAATCAATGTACACCTGGATTCCTCATCTGGACCCCAAAATGCAACCTATGTCGACATCTTGTCTCTCACATGCATTTAAAGAGTACAAACGCACCATGAGTAATACGTCTGCGTGTGCGCGCGAAAACTATATGTGATTGTGAGTGACTATGACCAATTGCAAAACTGCACCTACGACATTGATTAATGTGGGATTTGTTGTGAAAGAATCAATACCTTGAGACCTCTCATAAAAGTAGGCAAATACCATCAAACAAATGCTCCGATCTCTATACATCATAGGACAAGCATGGAGGACTAGCTCAGCAAAAAAAACGTGCGCAGATGGTACGAAAGAATTTCACTTTTGCTAAAAAAAAAGGTACAGTTCTCTCAAAAAATGACCCCCAACAAATCCAATTGTTTATCATATTTTTCCATATGTTCGATCGAAATATCAATGTGGCCATAGATCTTGTAGGTATCCTTCATCCTTTTTTGACCAACCCATGTTGAGTCCTCCAAGAGCCAACACCGCGGAAAAAGCGGGAAATCGGCAGTTCCGCGTCACCGGGAGGTCCACATGTCTTTGCATTTTTTGGCGTTTCAGACTACATGCACATTGTATACAGCACATGTAATGACATGAGAACACATATCTATCATGATTCATGACTATCTATAGATACTCACCATGGTTGCCTCATGTCATCCATGTTGTTTCCAAAAGCTGCAGCCTAGTCTTCAGCATCTGCAATCTTTGTCACCTGGTGGCACTATCATCCATAGCTGGTCGCTGGGGGATTTTCCAACAAACCCTGTGACTGATTACTGAGGGTGTATCAATATAGTATATACATTCACATACATATCATATCTTCCTATTCAATTTCAGTGATTCACTTATCTATCTGCCATGCAAATGGGCCCTGAAATGAACAAATCCAATCCTAAACCATGATTGCTGGGACTCTAGGAGGGCATTTAATAGGGGCAAGGGATTATGGGGCACCAATCTAATGACTGGACAAATTTGAAACAATTTTAAGGCACCAACTCTTGATCTACGTTGAAGTCATACCCAAATCTCACTCTCCGAAATTTCCGTGTGGCTACGCAATTCAGGTGTTCAACTACATATAAATTATATATTTATCATAATATGTATATATGATGTACTCATGATTTCCTGGGGGAAAAAAACAATAATCTATATAATCTATATATATATATATTTAACGAGCATTTTCTCAGTATTTCCAGGAATCAAAACCATCCCATGAACCTTCCGGGCAGCCTTGGAAGCACGTGGATGGCCCTTCTCGCGGTGAAAGTCACCTGCAATGGAAAATCGTCCAGCTAGAACTGGAGAAAAGAAATCCCACCATTAAATGCAACATATACTGTATGTATAATATGTGTGTATGTATATATATTATGTATATATATATATGTATGTATGTATGTATGTATATTATTATATATGCATATATACATGTATATTATATATGTATATTTATATATGTATATTATACTATGTATTATAAGATATTATATATGTAATATTATGTGTATCTTTATATATGTATATTATAATAGATATTATTATATATGTATATTATATATGTATATTATATATATTGTATATTAAATGTATATTATATTATTGTAATTATATATGTAATTATATAGTATATTGATATATGGAATTATATATGTATGTATGTATGTATATTATATATGTATATTCTATATGTATATTTACTGGCTCTTCAATGATATAAAAACTGCCAGTGTACTGTTTCTATGATTAAACTATATCCCACATATTTTCCAGCCTTGCTTATTGTTATAGACATGAAATGTAAATCAACAAAACAGGAACCTGGTTCACACTCCAACCGAGGGAGATGAGTAATTAAATACTGGACTGGTGCTTTCAACCAATCCCGAAAGTATGCCCATCATTGCGTATTCATCCAAAACTTTCAACGGGACACGAGAACACATATTTGACGCCACCAACCTTAGCTGGATATGAAACCAAACAAATACATACAAATACAGTACCGGTTGGTGGTTTCGACCCCTTTGAAAAAAAATTAGTCAATTGAGGTTACTATTCCCACTATATGGAAAAATGTTCCAAACCAACCAGAGTAAGAGTAAGAGTACATGTAATGAAGGAGATTATAAAGTGAATAGTAGAACGGAAGAACATACTGTATGTGGAGAGCCAAGCTAGCCCCGTTTCAGTCCGTTTCTTCCAAAAGGATCCACAGGGTTGTGAACACCGCTTCAATGGCAAACATGTCGTGAGAATGTAAGCCCACAAACCTTGTCTAGGCTTGCCGCAGTAGAAATCAAATGAATGAAACACATATCCCAACACCAACACCATCTGCGAATCTGTAGTTACAAATTTGACAAAAGGGGCATGGTGAAGCCTACAACACCGTTTGTCGCACATAATCATCCAATCTCGTGGTCCGTGTCAATTCATTGGGTCGCAACTCCAGTCACAATGGGTGGCTAGCCACAAAAATTGACCAATCTATAAACATATTGAAAAATTGGGTACCCTCTGGTAATTTAACATAGCTATTGAAAATGACCATTTATAGTGGATTTTCCCATTGAAAATGGTGATTTTCCATAGTTATGTTAGTTTACCAGAGGGTACAAGGGGCAGCATAAAATTGACCCAGAGCCAGATCTTGTCGCAGTCCTCACAAGTGGCTTATTAGATTCCACCGAAGAAGTTGAGAATATCAACCCATCTCATGACTGGCAACAAGGTCAATTCTAGCCCCATCTCACAAACACGAACAATGCCCAAACCGTGTCCATTGACAAATGGGACTCCGTCAAAACTCTGGCACCCGGTAAATTACTCTTCATCAATGCCATGCTCACTGTATGGTCCTCATGTTGATGTGTTCACCTTCAACCACTTTCCGGGTTGTTTGTGGCATGGGCCCATATCATCTTATATCGATCTCTGACCTTTTATTTTGCTGGGCCTGTAACTACAAGGTGAGGCCCTCGAGTTCTGCTGATAAAACCATTGAAAACCATTGAATAATGTATCCACCATAAACATCCATAGACCCATAGTAAAATAAATTATTGTATAAGTTATAAGTCAACTTAACTTAACTATCTCAAAAGGGGGCCTCACCTTGTACCTCATCCCAGTTCACAGGCGTTTTTCAGTTGATCTCAAGCAAAGCTGTTTTTATGGATCAGAACCCCCATCCCCTCAAATAGTATTGACAAGTTGGAACAACGAAACAACCAAGGCCCCCAAAGGACGGATAGATTCACCGAGGCCAAAATACCATCGTGTTTTGAAAAAACGTCCTCCAAGCAAATCCCACTCAAACAGTCATATTCATATTCTATATCCCACTCTGACTCAGTCATCATATTCTCATAAATGATCGAATTTCTCCACCTTTTCCCCAACTTTTTCCGCCTGTTTCATGTTTGTGTTTCCCATTTCCATCATTTCCCCACCTCTCCGGGTTCAACAAAAACCGTCCTTTTTCGCGACCGGTCGCGGTTTTTTGACGCCTTGGATTTCACCTCGATGTCCGGTAGCAAGGCTGCGTCCACAAAGACGTCGCGGCCATAGGCGGCCTTCGTCTCACTGCCTCGACGACGGACGGCTACCGCTGAAGATTTTGGATGTGGGTAAAACAATGCCATTTTTACCAGCCATGACTGGGAATGGGAATCATACCACCTATGGTTGAAATCAGGATTCACCCTCTGGCAATTTAACATAGCTATTGACAATGACCATTTAGTTCGTTGATTTACCCATTAAAAATTGTGATTTTCCATAGTTATGTTAGTTTACCAGAGGGTACAGTATATCTAATCATGCCCAATTATACAATATGCAGATACATGGTGAAATACATGGTGAAATGTACTTCAATTTCTAAATATTTCTAAAAATGTCAACATATTTCTACAAATGTTTACATATTTCTACATATTTCTACCATCAACAGAAATCCAAAGGAATCATTCAAAACCACGAGCTCGTCTGCAAGTTGAATGATTGCGAATGAACTTACATTTGACCCAGTATGACGCAGCTATAGCTGGTAGGAGGGCCATTCGGTTCCATGTATGGGAGCAATACCTCGATGTGTATGTAAATTTTGTGAATAGATTGATATTAATATTAGATATATTATAATAACATATAATAACAATATATAATACATAATCAGACTTGATTTGTGGCACTGGTGTATGTCGAACATGTTACTCGATTTGCTGAAATGTTTCCACGGATGAAAGCACCAATTCAAAAAAAATCTGAATACATAGTCTGATAATGCCGGATCAAATCTTGGTTAAATATGATGATGCCAAAACCAAAAAACACCAAAAAAAGCAGAGTCGGTGTCCAAGAACTGGAAAGGCTTGAATGGAGGTATTGTTTGGTTGGATCTGTGCTCCCCCTACCAAAAAAATATCATCACATGGGTGGATGATCTCTCCCAGCCCTGACCATCTGTTCGCTTCATGGGTGATATCGCACTGATATCCTCAAGTGTTGGTGATTTCCACAAGTTCATCCAACTTCTACATACCTTTGCTGGATATTCCCCCTGTTCTGTTGCTCTTTTCATTTGGCCGAGTACAACAAAAGCAAACATTACATGAACCATATGACACACAAACAATTTCATCCAAAAAAATGTAAACAAAAACCCTACTGCTCCCTTGGTCAGCAAAGTTGGCTATATCAACAAAAACCTGCAGGTTTTGGCGCCTGAACTTTGGATGTTTTGGATCTTTCCTGCCTTAAAAAGTCGTGACACAAACACACTCTCCGTCGATGTCCAAGGTGCAAGTGATGAAGCCGTAGCCGTTTTTGTTGCTGATCGACTTCCTTAGTCCCAGGGGATTTTTCTTCAACGGTGTGGGGATCATGTTCCAGGCTTAACGATTTAGCGACAAATACGTCTGTTTTTCATTGGGAAATTATGTGTCGCTTTACAAAACATGGTAAAACTGTTGGTAAATCTGAGAAATGATGTGTCATCCTATTTTTCATATTTTTCTCAGATTTACCAACAAGCGGGATTTCACCGACGAAGAATGGATGTGACTTTGAACAAATGTGAAACCAATGGATCCAAACCTCAAACGGCACCTTGTTTTGAATGGCAATAAATTGGTGTACGCCCATTCTTGGGGCAAACCCTACAACAGGGAACATAAGAACTATGTTTGAATCTGCCAGGCAGCAAGTTCGTGGGATCGTAAAGATATGGTTTTGTTGGGGGAATCTATCCACAAAGAATGGGATATGACGGTTTGTCAAAATGTCTGTTCCCGGTTTTGTTGAGAAAACGCAATTCCATGCGTGCCGCCTCATGTTTGCCTTTAAAAAACATGACCTACCTTGATGACGTGAAAACGTGGAAATTCTTCGTTACCTTTGGAAATCTTTCTAAAACCACAGGAATCGGCTAACGCACGTCGGTTTTCATTCGCTGTCGCTGGTACTATCTCCTGAACTGTGTGTCTCTGTGTGTGCGCCTCTCTGAATGCAATATGCTTCTTGACATGCCTCCTGATCAACGCTGTTTCCTTACTGTAAGCTACCAAAGCGTGAACATGGCTGTGCCTCTGAATGGGCTGCGGGTGGACCGGGGCATGTATTTGCAATTTTCGCTAGCGCGTTGCTAGCGGCGATCTAGCGCGTAAAATACGTAAAAAAAATCGAAAATTTGGGAATATGTGACAGACTTGTAAGAAAAGCTGGCAAGACATTCACGACATGGAGGCCATGGCTGTCAATCAAACCTAGCGCAAACCTAGCGGGTTTGCTAGCGCTGCCTTGCAGAATTGCTGAATTTAGTTGCGTGCCGCCTCATAACGAAGAGGGAAAAAACAGTAGACCCAGATGAATTATTAACAACCAATATTAAGCTTCTAAACAACTATTTTTGACAAATGCTCATATGAACAATCCGCCATCTGGATGACAAGTAAGAGTGAACCCTGTGATGTGGCCCTCTAGAACTTGTTTCAGATCATGATCATGGCAGCGTTTTAAATTTACATACCTACATGTTTGTTTTGCGTGCATCCTTGATCTCAACCAGTGTTGATATCTATATCTATATATGGTAAACCCCGAACAAATTACTTAGTATGATTAGTACGTAGCATTTTTCAGTAGGATTCATTAGTACTATTTTCGTTTTTACACCACTATGTTCTTACTGGGATCTTATGGCCCATTTCATCTTGCAATGGGTTGCTTTAAACAAAACACACCAACCCCGAAAAACGTTTCACCGCAACTCGCCACGGGAGTTCCCGTAAGCTGAGTTTCACTTGACCTGTGTACTCCTTGTCAGATGCGGGTGCTACAGCTGCAGCTGCCGCGCTTTCCCTGGGCTTCTTTTGTTAGACGTGCCAGTCAGGCATAGAAAGATGCTATTAAGTAGTAAGTGGGGTTGTAACTTAGTTATAACCCATTTATTTGGCATCTAATATGGTAACCCGTAATATATGGTAACCCGTAATAGATGGTAATTTGATCACCCACCATCTGGCAATCTGGCATATGTTTTAAGATTATGACCCATAACATATCATGTAATATGATCTAAAAAGATCTAATATTGACCCAGGACATCCCAGGACTGTTTTTATTTCTTTAACCTATGACTAGTATGATCTAACATGGAGGCTTCGATTTTGATGGAACAAAACGTCCTGGGGAAGGCAAGGAGTGAATCCTGGGAGGATCATCCGACTGAGTAACTCGTTGAAAAATCACCCCGAAGTTCTTGGTTTATTTCCCCAAAGTGGGGACTATACCATTTACCATCTGGTTATTTAACATAGCCATGGAAAATCCCTTATAAATGGAGGTTTTAATGGGATATTCATCTATAAATGGGCCATTTTCCATGGCTATGTTAAATAACCAGAGAATATCCATTTATAAGATAGGCTATAGATAACCCAGTTACTAACCGGTGACTAATTTTCTGGGATGATCCTCCAACTTGCGATCGCCACATTGGGTGAAATCCCCATGTCCTGTTGGTACATCCGAGGGTTTCTGTGGCCAATTTAAGCCTGATCTGTAACTGAGGTGTATTCCAGAAAAACAAAAAAAACTAGGTGAAGTAACATGGAACATGGTTGTTACTACCCACATACAGGGAATCACATCCAAGTATGGAGTATGGACTCTCGGAATTTGGGTATCACAGCACCACATGGGATACAAATTGACCCACACAATTTGCTGAAAATTGAAATTATTGCACAGTCATCGGGCCACTGGGTCAGTAATTGAGCAGGACTAGCAGCAGCGGTTTAGCAGCAGTCGACCAGCAGCCGAGCATCAATGTAGCAGCCATCTAGAAGTAGTCAAGCAGCAGTCAGCAAGATGCTAGCAGCTGTTGAGAAGCAGTCGAGCA